CGTAATCAACCTGACCTTGCGTTAATTGTTTTTTGACCGACCGTCTGTGTTGCATTATATGATTTCCAAATCTTGCTAAAACCTGTTTGATTTAGTGTGCTCCCACGCTTCTCTCTCTCTCTCTGTATCCCCTGTTGTATCTGTGTCTGTATATATATCTGCGGTTATGTGTCTCCTCTCTCTCGTAAATTTAGCTCTTCTGTACCTGATGATGATTGCTTGTGTTGCAATCGAAACATCGTACACTATTATGTTATTTTATTATTTATACGTGACTTTACCGAAAAAAACAAATAATGTTTTGTTAAGTTTGTTGTCCTTGCCCCGCACCTCCGATTAGCACGATTGGCTACGTAAGGTGCGAAAGAAGTTCATAATACACATATTGCATGCAGGAGAGTGGATCGCAAAACTAGATATCCCTTTATAAGCCTTTCCCATCCTACGAAAGCAGGATATTGTTCTACATGCTAAAGTTATTTCTGGTGAACTGGAATTTATCGTAACACTTGCCTTAAGCAAATTAAGTAAAAGTTTGTCGGAGAATAATGTAACTTTTAGCACTTGTTGAAATATCGTTATATGTAGAGAAAAAAACTAAATAGAGGGTGTTGATATTAGATATTTATTCATGCAAATTAATATTGAGTTTCATTTATTATTTACTCACCACCTCACTTGGCCAAACACTTTTGTTTAATGATTTGAGAAAAGCCTCCGGGCAATTTGAGCGATATGTCCCATGTAAATTGTTTCCCCAAAGCATATTGGATATTGACGTATCGCCTCGAAATGAATAGTAAGCCATAATACATTTTAAGTGGATTTACTGGCCAAAATGTAAATACTACGACCGCCTCACGAAGGACTCATAAAATGAAAAAAAGTATTAGGTGACTGATACAATAGAAGCCTTTAACCTATGACTCTGTTTACACTAACCTGTTCGCAACGCATGCATGCACCTATGACATTTAGACCGCTAAAACTACCGGATTAATCTTTTTCACTGTGGGCTTCGTTTTGAAATCAAATCGATGAACATGCCCCTACCGTGGTTTATTATTAGCCAAACTGCAGAAGCTCTAAAGACACACGCTTAACCCCCATAATTGCTGCAACGTGGAACGGATTTATGGAGCGGCGGACTTTTGTGTACGGGCGCTGCCGTGTGGTGTGACGACGGTCATCTCACCGGAGGTGCAAATTCAGAGGCTGCCGGTTCGATCTCTTGGGCGCAGCAGTGCGAGTACACTCCAGTTTCTATGCACACTTTATCCCCCGCCCTCACCCGAATCTGGACTTCGCACCTGATTCGCTCACAAGTGAATACATTGGATTTATTCCTCTATATAGGACCGAAACAGGAGAATTTTCCCACAACTCTGGCTGTCGCGTGATGATGCTGGTTGTAATTACCGGCGAAACGTCATACTCATATTGTAAATGTTGTGGGTTTACTCACCAACACACCGGTGGGCTGAACGGGTGGTGGCGGGTTTAACGAAACATTAAATTAAGCAATCTAACCTAAAAACCTCGAGTATGGATAATATTGGTCGCGACAGCCGAAGTGTTAAACTAAATACACCACAGTTTACTGGGTCGGCAGCTCCCTTTGTGGTGGGGTAAAGCGTGGGTACTCACGCCTCTTCCAAGGCGTCTGGAGAGTAGGCTGCGTACCCTCTGGAGAGGATGCTCTCTCGAGTCGATTGGAGGCCTTTCTGCCAGCAGTGGCATGAGCAATGCATTTCAGGGGTGCGCCTTTACCACTCGTAAATGGAGTAGCTTTTAAACTCCGTTTACCCCAGCCTCCAACTCCCCAAGCACTTATCGTTAGAAGGTGTTCAAGTGTGTTTATGGGAAGAACAACAAAAAAAAACACCACGAGTATTTAGAGGCAGTTTTAAAGCACACTTTATTCAAGTTAATTACAAATCAAAGAACAGTAATCACGTTCCATTTTATGAACGTTTATAGAGACATTTACATGTTCTGCATTAGTTATCAACTCATCACAATAGAACAGGTTTTGCGTTTTCCAAATAACGACATCATACCATCTAGTCTCTTGCAGATACATGACATTTGCATAAAGCGTCAATTGAAAGCTGGGAACTATTGGTTGTTAATCATTCTACTTAACTATGCCGGTTACACTGCTTACATAAATATTGTGTGGAATGAATACTGGATGAATATGTTAATGATTGTGCAAGCCTAAAGCAATGGTTTCATCCATTACAATGTAACATTTTTCTGATTTCACGGGCTAACGGTTTCATATCGAATATACGAGATACTGGTATATATAAAAACAAAACTTATTTTCTTTTTCATGTTTTTTTTTTATCCACAACTAACACCACTTTCTTAAAATTCTACATGCGGTACATCCAACTTACGGAATTGAAAAAAAAAACCCTTTTAATTAGAGCATGCATAAATACAAAATATCTGCTGAAGCGTATAATACCATATCAAAATAGATATTTGGTCAAGGAACACTGGCATTAACAACACAGTAAATAACGCGACACAAAACAGCATTACGGAGGACACGCGCAATATATATTTTTTTCATGAACACAACGGCGTGTTGTGATTGCATTGTACGTACGTGTAACTCCTTCCGCACCGCACGTAGCCAACCGTGCTAATCGGAGGTGTGGGGGAGAAGGACAAATATCGTATTACGGGAACCGTGGAAACAAAAAAACAGTAGTGGGGGTTACAAGAAAAACGGGGGGCGGGCGGGCGGGCGGGGGGGCAGGAGTGGCATAGCGCGGTTGGCATGGGCGCTAGTGGAAATAAACCATGGTCCCCTGCAGCTCTCAGTGCAAGGGACGTAACAAAAAATAAAACCGTGTTGTCATGGTAGGTGCTGCTTATAAGGAATCGGCAATCTTGTGAGCCCCCCCCCCCCCCATCGATGATTTCACACAGCTAGAGCACAGAGTCACGTTTATGATCCCCTGCAATGTAGCTGAGGAACAATGGCATCTTCACGCCGAAGATTGCAGCTGTTATTATAAGAAAGAAGCAAAGGCATTGCAGGTTGTGAACACCTTATGTGTCGCTGTGCATGCTGCGTTACATACTGCTACATTCTTGATTTGAAAGCTTTCGTGAGTGCAGGAATCCATACTCTTTGGTTCTTTCGGTAAAGTCACGTGGTAGGTATTATTTTTTCTACCTACGTGACTTTACCGAAATAACCAAAGAGTATATTGCTACGTTTTGTATTATTTCACGAATTTTACAGCCCTTCCTCAATCAACTGCTGGACGGAGACCTGCCCACACCGTCTTGGTAATGGGGTTTGTTTGATTATAATTCACCACGCTGGTCAGTGTGGGTGAAGGGACTGGGAAGGACTGGTTCAAGTATCACTCGCCACTGACATTAGACGTGGTGGGGAATCGAACTCAGGTTGCCTGGTTCAAAGTGCAATGCAGAACCATTTGACTTATCACTGATTTTTAATTAAACATTTTTATTTTAATACGTTTTTTTTATACTCCGAGGACATTTTTGTATCTTTAACACTCTGCAACCAAGGTTGAAAGCGTTAATGCATTATTCCATCTGTCTGTCAATATGTCTGTTCAGTCTGTCGAAAGGGTCGGGCTAGAACTCAAAGCCTTACAATTTATTGTCCGCAGTAAATTAAACGGAGGTTAGCCTTTTAACCACGGCAATGACATCGCAGAGTGTGCACACGCATTCGATGGCATCGTTACACGCGATGTCATCTCGCCCTATCACGAGTCGTGTGCCATATTCTCGCGACGTTGCGTGTCATGTCACGTAATCGAGCTCTAGCACTACATTTATTTATTTATCATAATCATTACTGGCCATGAGCAATAGACTTCTGGATGAAGGCCGCCCCGAGCCACTGTATTAAAAAAAAAACACAAAAGCGATGTAACGATCCACCTAGACATCCTCTGGGGCACGTTCCATTCCTTGGCTGCCACTCCATCACTTCCCTTGACCGTTGCTCATCTTCGAGTGATTAGTCCTGTCCCAAGCCCACTCACTTGCTTTCGCAGCTTGAATGATTTCATGAGGACAAACGCGTGTTGTAAAGTGTTACAGAAGCCATGAATGCGCATGATTGTTCGTCCTCGTTTGAAATTCATATCGCTGCTTTTATTGCTTATATTGCACCATGGAAATAGAAAGAAACACCAAGCAACTAACACCAGGACGTTTGAGAACTACATGAATGATAATAAAAAAAACAATTCACACTTGACAGCAGAAACCTCAAATAATTTGAGTTTTTAAAAGACTGTTAGATAAGCTGCCCTAACATACGAATGTCTGCAAATCCTCTATACCAAGTGAAACAGTCCATAGATTAAGATCTTGTATGACCTCCATCACGAATCTACTTCGGTACACTGCATTGTTTAACTATATATCATGTATGCTTTATCTAGCAGGTCCTTCTAGTTTATCACAGCCCTGAACTCAGTGTGTTCTATTATTATTTTTATGACCTACACTGCAGATATTTGTTAGCAATGACCTGATCTCAAAGACTGAATCGGTGTCGTAACATTATCTATAATCAAAGATTATTTTAACATAATCTATGTTACGTAAACATTATTATGCGTAATCATTGTTTTTTATTTATACGTAAAAAAAAATTCAAGGTAAAGTTGCAGTCCTGCAAGTGCTTGGTCACGCCACCAGCTGGTGGAAGGGCATCCACTAGAGGGCCTCGCTCTGTAAAGTATTTTCTTATCCCCTTCCACGCTGGCTATACATCTTGGAAGAAGTGTGAATACCCAAACTTGACCCCCATGTAACTAGGGCAATGCGGTGGCGAGATGTTAACTACCTCGCCTGGTTTACAGGAGGTCATGGGTTCCATCCCAACACTGACGCTTATATATTTGGAGTTTGCATGTTTCTCTCCCCGTGGTCGCATGGATCTTTCTCCAGACCCTCCGGGTTTCCCCTGCACATTTATAAATGTGCGTTTAGATTATTTGGCTGTTATAAATTTCCACATGACCCACTTCGTTGAGCTACCATTTGTGACCAGCTCGCTTCTGAAAAAAAGAGCTGTACAGCTCAGTGGCCCTTACCTGGTAAAAAAAAAGATAGTCAACTTGGGGTGTGGCGTTTAAGAAACTTTCTTCAATTAGCTTGCCGGGAGATCGATTTTCGCCAACGACCTCTGGATTACAAGTCGCGTGCGATAACCATTACACTGCAGAATCATCCCACGTGATGTGCTAGTTTATTTTAATCCTTGCAAAGGCATTTTTTACGTGAGCACTTCTTCACGCAGTTGAATACAAATTCTGACCGGCTGCTGCGGTGGATAATGGACACTAAAGACAATGTTTTGGTAAAAAATATCTCATTGGGATATTTCAAATTGACCAAAAGCTCTCACCGTGGTCGGCAGCGGGAGCAGCAACAAACAAAAAAAACAACAAGCATTTTGTTGAGGCTGCTTAAAAATCCATAACACTAACAGTTGTTGACATTTAAAAACGCAATATCAGCGCGGCTTGTGCCTCAGTGTCACTTTTTGGTCAGCAATTAAAGAATGGCAATAAACTACCCATCAGGCCGGTTAGGAGCTGATTGCTCTAAATATGAGCGCTCAAAGCACCGCCCCCCCCCCCACACACACCCCCAGAGGGGTGTGTGTGTGGGGGGGGATCGCAAACTTTTGAGAGCGTGACTGCGAAAATTGGGGCAACCCTAACGGAAACGGAAAACGACAGCAGAAAGACAAAGCACGTCAATTGCGAAGCAGTGGCTTTGTTTGGCGACACGGCCAGCGATAAGCACTCCCTCGCGCAACGGGAGCGAGCATGGAGGTAGAGGCGCAGCCCTGCAAGTAAACATTGCTGGCGGGAGGGCCTTAAAACTTAGAAAAGAGCTCAAGAGGGGCTGCTCTACAGACCGGGAAATTTGGTCTACTCTTCCAAGCCGGCCAGACGTTTGTTTTGCTATTCCGTGTCAAACGTGACCTGCTTATCGAACTCACTGTGCTGCAGCCATTTATACTGCTGGGTGGACAGAGGTGGGGGGGATTTAAGAAGCTTACCCGTTTATTCATTAATATCGTTTATTTTTGTGTTAGATCGTCTAGGTATTATATAATTTTCTTATACGAAATATATATCTATTTTTTTACTTTAACCTTCCATCACCCATCTGACAGAGTCCATCAAATCACGTTGATTGGCTCTGTCAGGTGGTGGAGCGTTATAGTTATAACATTGACATTATACCCAAGCGATGATGTGTAACCCAATCGTGAACCATAATATCGGTCGCGATAGCCCGCCTGTCAAGTTAAACTCATCCGGAGTCTCATCGCGGTGCGCTGAATCGAACCAGCGACCTATCGAATCACAAGCCCGGCGTACTGACCATTAAAACCGCGGCAGCCGTGCACAGGTAGGGGGAGTCGAGGCTGCCCGCCAAAGGTTTCCGCTGACTCACCCGCTGTCGTCTGATCAACGCACGCCACGGTCCCCTGCCGCAGTATCACCGGTGAAAGGGTTAATCCCGGTGCGGATTCCGTGACCTGATGGAATGGAATGTGCTCTCTGACATTGGCTCTGAGAGCCTCTATAGAGTAGAGGGCAGAAAGGGGGGAAGGCTCTGGGGACTGGAAAAGGGGAGATGTGTGCTGCATCGAGTTTAGCCACTGATGGCTCCAAGATGAATGCTGTTGTCACACCGCATCTTGCTAACCACCCGAACGCTGCCTAACGGCCGCCGATGTAACGGCGGGAAATCTCGTACCGAAAACAAGTCACCCGTCTGCCGAATAACCTTGTCCGCCGAATATTGATGTATTTATTCTGCGGCGGTTTGATGGATTCCATTTATTTATTTGTTCCCAATTTTCCGTATTTTATCGTTTCGGTTAAAACATCCACGTGGCATTCCCTTCCTAATGCACCAGAACATTAGAATTAAATATTCAGCGCCTCGGCGTACCACGTGTGTCCTCCGCTATTAGATTGGACGCATTAAAATGTGTAAAGCGCAAGTAATGCTGATGGATGGGTTTGCTGCCAAACACATACTTTTGTTTAAGCCTCGCGATAACGAGGCCATTGCATGACTCCCACAGATAGCGCGCGCGTGTATCCATCATGACGGAGGAGGAGCCCGCTGAAACTTACATTGCGTCCACACAATTCAAGCAATTCCAGCCAGGACCCCCATTCATTGTTCAAAGAAGCCCATGCTGACAACATCCAACGATTAACACGAAGCACGGCAAACCGCACCTGAGAGGCGGGCAGACGGAACCTGGATGCACCCGTGAGCCATTGCGTTTTTGCCAAAAGACGTACAGGCAGAATGCCACTGATCATTTGCTGGCAAGCGCGTCTTAATGGGATATTGAATTCCGTGGTAATAATGACATTGACCAAGCGTAATCAGCACCGACACCTACAGCACGTGCTCGCTCTCTCCACGCACGTATCTATCTATCTACCTATTAATAAAGCCGGACGTGGGTTAAGCACGTGCGAGTTAGACGGTGGAGTGCAGGCTCGGCCGGGTCTCTGTTGGATGTGTGTAGTAATGATTTTCCCGGTCCTTCTCCCCGTCTGTTCCCGCTGCCACGACAGCCCTGCCCATCTGCGGCGCGGCGAGCGTGCGCATCCCGAGCTCGCACGCTGCCTCTCGGCGCAGCCTGAGCTCCGTCTGGTGTCCCGCGACCCCTCCCGGGCCGCAAGCAAAGCGGCCCAGGAGCAGTGGAACTTCGTGCTGCAGCTGGCGCTGGGGCGGCCGGTTTTGCTGCTGCTGCTGTTGTTGTTGCTGCTGCTGCTGCTGCATCGCCGACACGGAGCGGCGGTTCACCAGAGGCGCGGGGCAAAAGCCGGCAAACTCCTCGGGGCTGCACCGTCGGCAGGTAGACGAGCACTTGGTGCCAAGCGAAGCCGAAAAGAGCATGGGCCTTTGTTGCGGCGGCTGCTGCTGCTGCGGCTGCTGCTGCTGCATTTGTGTCTGCGTTTGCTGAGCGCTCTGCTTCTGGATGTGAGTGCGGCCGTCGGCGGTGACGAGCCTGCGCTCCTGCGTCTGGGTTCCGCCGAGCAGGGCGGACGGGATGTAGTGGATCTCGTTGTTGGCCAGCTCGGCGCCGGCCGGGCAGGTCATCTTGGACTGCCCGCTCGCCCCTCGAGGGCAGCAGATGCTGCCCCCGCTGCTTGGGTGCTGGCGCCAGCGGCGACGGGCGAAGAGAGCCAGCATGACGAGCAGGACGAGGAGGAGAAGGGCGATCAGCCCACCCTGTGAAATCGGACGCACATCAAGTACATTATCATTAGCCACGCAGCTGCTTCCTCCACCATGTAACAAATAGGGCGTCTCTTGACTGCGCACATCGGCGGAGCTGTTAAGGATCGTGCCAGTGAAGCGAGATGGTGCGGCAACAATTTTGACGTTAACATTCATTAAAAGAGTGCAATTGACTACTCGGAAGTCTATCGCGTTACTCGCATTTTTTTTAAAGCCATTATCTAGAACTTAATGTGCTGAATGAAATCAATAACGAGTGCACTTTACATTGTAAAACAATGGCACCATATAACCTCAAAGGATTATGACTTCAAGAAATTGGATACGGCAGAGGACACTTGCGCCGGTGACTTCTACGCGCGAGAGAAAACCTGTCGTATGAACAGTTTGTCAGTACGTCCATATTCCTCTGCAAGAAGGGAGGCTCGTGAGCGTTATTCTTTCACACCTTTTGGAGAAAGATGAAAAATTAAACAAAAACAGCTTGCACCCGATGAAACGTACCCACGTGTCAATTAAATAAATAACTTGTGCTTCACGAAATTATTTTAAGAACTTCATATTAAGGGTACAATTTTTTGAAGCCAATTCCCAAACTATATCTCTCAGTCTCATTTTCAAATGAGCTGCCAGTGTTGAAATTATTATTTTGAATGGTAATGTACAAATGCTGCATTATACGGTGTCTCAACTTTTGTCGTCAGCTCCTCGCTATAAAATCACGGATTAATCAGCATCACACCCGGTGTCACGTAGCTTTCTCTGTGGGCTGACACAAACAACCGGCAAAGCTTCCAATTATTCCATTCAAATGGTAACACATTTCACAGGCCGATGTCAGGACACCACTGTTAATGTCTATTGATGTATGGCACTGGATTGGTGTCTTAATTTTAACGCAACGGGGAGCCGGGGAATGTTTATCCATGAATTTTGATGTTGGCAATTATCGTGCGTTGTAACGAGCTTCCTATTCTGTTTTTTTTCACGGGACACCACATCATTCATTGTCACTGGTTTCTTGCAATACCGGCTCGTGTGTATTTTATTTTTTTCAAAAGACACAGTGTTTATACGCGCCTTGGGCAATTCCCAAGATTACACAATGATTTAAAAATATACACATGTAGAATTTAACATCTTTAACATTCCTACTTACTCACATCCTCAGACGAGACTGCTTATGTGCAAAGTGCTTCACAGCTTTGTAATTTGTCTCCATTTTCATCCATTAAGCCAGCAAGCTTTGCTTGCATTTTCCAACCTATTTTCTGCTTTTTTTCGTTCTCCATCTAGGTGGTTGCGATGAAACGCCCTCCCCTACTACTTCCCCCTCCACACCCCCCCCCCCCCACACATTGTGGGCCCAATGGGACAACTTAGCATTTTCTTTCACTGGAAGGCATCCAAGAGCCAGCGATAAACAGATGGTACCAATCTGCAGGAACGTAAAAATAAAAAGGGCCGTGCAGTGAAACAATTCTACCTTAGAGTAGTGGGAAGGAGCCAAGAGCACCATGAAAAATGTAATACTTGTAGAAAATTGGTAAAAAAAAAATGAAAGCCTAATAGAAATATAAACGGCAACATTAAAGAAATGAAATGGTTCATATGGGCAGGCGTACACATACAAGTTTCGTGATTGCTGTAATGCAGGTCTCTCAGTAAAGCCACACACATTCCAAATTTCATCCCAATTGGCGTTGCCATATAAGAGCCCCATTAATTTTCCATTCTACCCACCCTGTGTGCCTGGCAGATGGGTGCCACGTTACCCTGGAGTTGTGGCAAATTAGTGTATTTAATTTAACGTGAATTTCAGAAATTTAAGGCCCGAGGAATTTTTTTTGTCGCTTTCTTTTTTTGCAGCTAGTTTCTGATCATGAATATTTCACACCCGTGTGGTGAACTCTGCGGACTGACGGAACGCACTATTTTGCTGTGCAGTAACGAAGCTCTGGGGATGCTTCTGCTGTGGCTGTAACGGTTAAGCTACTCGGGACTTGCGAACCAGAGGTCGTCGGTTCGATTTGATATCCAGGCAGCGGCAGCAGAAAAAGGGTTGCAAGGCTCTCAAATGCCTTCCGCCCCGCCTCTGTTCACCCAGCAGTATAAATGGGTACCACCACAGTCAATCGGTAGGTCGTCTGTGGTGGGGTAAAGTGTGGGTATGCCGACCGTTTTCAAGACAATCTGGCCAGTGTGGAAGAGTAGGTTAAACACCCTCTAGAGGGGCCTCTGCAGAGCTCCCTATATTGGAGGGAGATACTTTGTGTGTGTTTTTTAGAAGCCCTCCATTTTGGGGTTGTCCAATAGTTATGAAATATACTGTGGGGAAACGTCATCGGCATGCAAAACAATGTCAGTCAACTCCTGGCCGTGCAAGCTGCTCTTAATAATCGCTTTTGGAGTTCTTTGTTTATTCACAAGTCTGCAATGCAATAAAAGATACACATTTAAAGGGCAACCACTCTGAAATTCCCCAAATCCTTCAATCAATCTTTTACCTCTGCCGAGGGCCTTTTATTTCTCAAGAGGACATTATACATGCTGATAAAAAATGTATAGAAGAGTTATATATGCATGCGTTAGGGTGAAGCGGTGGTGCGGTGGTGAGTGTGCTGCGATTTAAGAAGAAAGGGGCATTTTCTGGACGAGGTCCTACTGTATATCACTCGCCACTGATGCTTCCTATGTCCAGGAATCAAACTCAGATCCACAGGTTCATAGTGCAGCATGCAATTCACCTCTTCAGCACTCTCCACTATAAATAATAAAAATCCAACCCAATATAACGTGTATATTATCGAACTATTTTAACAACATACCTGGTGTAGATATTAACACTCTTATAAACACGGTTTTAGAAGATTCAACGCCCAGTAAATATATTTTTCATTAAGGATTCATCTTAACTTAATTGCAGTAGTAAGAAAAAAATACTACTACTAACTACTTTTATTTTAGCAGGCAATGTCCACTGAGCGATATAGCTCGTTTTGAGAAGCAACTTGGCCACAAATGATAGCTCCACGAAGTGGCTTATCATGTGGAAATTTATAGCAGCCAAATACTCCCAATGCATGCTTCTAAATGTGGATGGAAAATCTGGAGGATCCGGAGAAAAATTCACGTAACCACGGAAAGAACATGCAAACTCCAAATACACAGGTGTCAGGGTTGGGATCGACCTCCTGAATATTGGGCAAGGGAGCTCCCAGCTCTTGAACCTGAGATTATTTGCACAGTTTATACGAGCACATCGTATGACGCTAATAATAACACATCCAAATGTGTTTTTAAAGATTATTATGGACGGTGTCGGGATATTTTTTTCGCAATTCGACTGCACAATATTTGATGTCCATATTAGATTATTCACAAGGCACTTAGGGGCCGTCCATAAATGAGAAATGTGACGTCACATCGAAATGCGCAACTTTAAATAAATATAGACAACACGTTCTACTTAATTTAATATACTTTTTAATAAATGTTTTCTCCTACAACATCAGACATCAGAGTGCAGCGCCACATTAAATACGCACTACAATGACAATAGTTTACAGCGATTTGAAGCATGTTGGGGGGGGGGGGGGGCAGAGCTTTGTGACGTCATATTTGAGGGAGGGGTCTGACGCCGTGTGACGAAGGGGGGGGGGGGTCAAAAATCGTCCAAAATCGCGTGACGTCATTTATGGACGACCCCTTAAAACAATTCATATACTTCTTAATGCTGCTGGTACTGTTATTGCACAAACTGAGCCTTTCATCAACCAGAATATCATCAAGATCAGATGACGATTGAATCACCAATGCATATTTGTTAGATTTAAAATTTTTAGATTTTGTTCATTGTACCTTCCTTTGGCTGTACAAGTTACGTAAAGCACGTAACGCATTCACGCTACCCTTAAAGCGATCTCCCAGTTATTTCTTGGTCCACGTATTTTCCGCACGCACCCTGAAGCTATGTGTACTGCGCAGATATATATAAAAAAAAGGATTTTTTTTTAAAAAAAACACTAATACAACAACCCTCAGGGGAAAATTGTCGCCTCATTTTGGACCGTGACACCTGCCTGCAACACAAAGAGACGCGGCAGCTGAATGCCGTCGTTTACGCGAAAACGTTTCCGCCTCACTTCGCTTTACGCGACGCGCGCAGATCACCTCGCAAAAAGAAAGACCTAAAAAAAAAAACCCCATCGCAAAATATTGCGCGCGAAAGTGTCGTTGGAGCAAATTGGCGACAATGGCGAGAGAGGGGAAGTGGGGGGGGGGTTAGAGGTGGCGCGCTTCACGCACGCACGTGCACGCACCCACGCGCACGCACGCGCGCGCACGCGCACGCACGCACCCGCACGCACCCACGCGCACGCACGCACGCGCACGCACATAACTCTGATAATGTATTGGCACTGTCCTTGAAATTGATTGGTCCACACTCGAGACAGCTTTCCTTAGAGGCCCAGTCTCACATGGTGTTGGACCAGATGACCCCAAAAGGCGCAGAGGATGTCTTGTTTGCATGTTCACCACAAGTACGTGTGGTTCATGCGGACTTGATTAATTGAAAAATGTATCTATTTGGCGTTTAAAAATCTTAACACCTGTTGTATTGCCAGAAAGGAAACAACCTATTCTGACTATTCATACTTTCTACACTGACAAAAAAAGGTCCACACGATATAACCTCAGGATGACCGCGTAGGCTGCTTACGCGACCAGAATATTATACGTAACTCTCTAACAGACCGGTGTGTTGAACTAGTAACGATCTGGTGATGTTTTGTTTACGCGACAAACCTTACTAATTGGCCGTGTCCGGTGGTGGCGGGTTTAATGGCACATTTATATTTAGAGCGATCTAACCCAAAGAAACACTCTATTATAGATAACCTCAGGATTGTTTATGCAATACTTAATAATTTATCAGCATTCAGTTTTAATGGCTCTAAAATTGGGAAAAAATCGAATGATTAAATTAT